TTGCTTGAAATGAAACAGAACAAATGCTAGGTGGGAGAAAGAATTAGTGTGAGTGGGTGAAAAGGGAGAACAGCCAAAGTTTTCAGCTTTGTAAATAAAATAGCTTGAAACACGGGAATAGACCATACGAGACTTGTGAAAAGATGGCACACCTATTTCCTAATGCTGGAAAGTCACTTCTAGAAGCCAAGTCTCTGCTGAATTTAAAACAATGCACAATTGGTGTTAAATTAGCTTTACAGATGCAACTATTATTTCAAAACTTATTCCACAGTATGTGGATTTGTTATTTGGAGCTTGTATGGGTCCACTTATACAAATTAGCATATTTTTCAAAAAAAAAAGTAAAACAAATGTTCATCAAGACTACAGAGATAAAAAGGCTTTGTGTTTATAACTTCCTGTCAGGAGACACAGGTATACCATTGTCTTCAAAAGTGTAACATTATCCATCTGGCCAGCAAAACATCTGGATATTTATCTTAGCTCATAATTTCCTCCTGCACGTCCAGAAATTGTCAGTTATTTCAGCTGAGATTCAGCCCAAGGGAGAAAAGAAAAAGTTACATCCTTCTTTGCCCAGGTTTTATAAACTGAACTTTACCTTCTTCCCTAGGATGCCAATAAGTATAAATACAAGCAGTCTGAAGTCTTATTATTGTGGTTTCTAAGTCTATGCATATGAATTGTTCAGGCCACACACCAGACAGATGTGACCGTTATGCCACTGTGTTTTCAAAGTTCAACAGAGACAATGCAGATAGTAATATCATTTTTCAGAATACATATTCAATATGTATAGGAGGAGGAAAGGAATGTATTTGCTCCCCCCACCCCACCTGCCGGCCAAATGGCAGCACAGAGTGATATATGTGTTAGTTTCATGTTCAGATAGACTTGTAAAATGACTTCATTTTAGCAGGTCTTTTCAGTTTCTGTTTCTGCCTTTTATATGAAAACTAGCATATAACCCCAGCATTGTATGGGTGTTGTTGGGCCTGCTGCCTGTCTACTTTCTCCCTTCTCCAGCTCTGAGAGGGCCTACCTCACAATGTCTCCAAACCAACAGTCTGGCAATGGTGGGCAGGCTCTCTTTGTGGCTCTTTCCTTCCCTTCCTCCCTTTCCCTCATACACATATCAACTTTCTTTCCCAGTGACATCACAAAGGGCCACTTCAGCAAAAGCCAATCGTTCATCAAGCAACAGCTAATCCAGTAATATCACAGAGGACATCTTCACCTAACAACAGTCTTTGTGGTACAGACAGAGAGACATACTTTGATTTTTTTATATATACTGTACAAGCAGTCCTCACGTTATGAACAAGATAGAATCTGTAGGTTTGTTCTTAAGTTGAATTTGTATGTAAGTCAAAACAGGAAGAAAGAGAGAGAGAAAGAGAGAGAGAGAGAGAGAGAGGTGCTTTGGATAGCATAGGGTAGGGTTCTCTCCTGTGGTGTTTATTTTGCTTTCTGTGCCCCTGTTCACAAGATTTCACCTCACTTTCTATCCCTGTGATAACTAGATTTTGAAAATTTGGATATTTGTGGAAATAAGAATTGGCAATAAAGCTTAAACTGAGAAACCTTTTCCCCATAATTCTTGCAGGAGTGAATTTCCCTCCAATTGTTAGATTCTTCTCACTTCTCGTTGTCTCACCCCCATTCTGAATTGTAAGTTTGTAGTAAGGCAGATGTTTGTAACTTGGGGACTGCCTGTATACTTTTATTTATACAGGTTTTACAGAGAGAGATTATATATGTATAGATTAAGCCTCATCAAATTCCTCCCTCCCATCTTTAGTTCCCAAAATAAATCCTTATCCTATGTAAAAGTTGAATTACCTTTATATCTATTAGGTTGCTGTAAGTTTTTTCGGGCTATATGGCCATGTTCTAGAGGTATTCGCTCCTGACGTTTCACCTGCATCTATGGCAAGCATCTTCAGAGGTAGTGAGGTCTGTTGGAACTAGGAAAATCGGTTTATATATCTGTGGAATGACCAGGGTAGGGCAAAGGACTCCTGTCTGTTGGAGCTAGGTGTGAATGTTTCAACTGCCACCTTGATTAGCATTTGATGGCCCGGCAGTGCCTGGGGCAATCTATTGTTGAGAGGTGATTAGACGTCCTTGACTGTTTCCCTTCTGTTCTTTTGCTGTTGTAATTTTAGAGTTTTTTTTAATACTGATAGCCAAATTTTGTTCATGTTCATGATATCTATTCATTGCAACACACTAGTGAGCATACTAGGTTAGTATGAAGTCCTTTCATACAATCTCTCTGCCTGTAGTACATTGAGGCTCAAACTGCAAGTGATGCCCCTTTTAAAAGAGAAAAAACAGGATATACCATATATAATAATAATAGGATGTGTAGTTTCATGCTTATTTTCTTATTATGACTCTGGATGGGGAAACAATGTTAGTAAGGCATCGAACAATCAAAATGCAGGAAAGGAAAAGGTTAAACAAACCCACATTGGTATTGCTCCTGATCCAATTCGAAGACTGCTATGTATTTTAAAAACTGCATGCAAAAAGCTCTGCAACTGATTGTTACAGGTAGTTTGAACCTCACAAAGTCACATTGCTCGCAATGAAAGTATCTAATATGAATTCCTTCAGGCTCTAATATTTAACACTGTTTTAAAAAAAAACAACAATTCCAGAATGGAATATATTTTCTCTTCTCCATGTCAATCTGAATTTGCCTGAAAGAATTATGTGCTTGGTATGAGCTTTATGTGGATAATTTAGTTTTAAAATGGTAATCACTTTTTTCAGGACAACACAGTGCTGCCAACACACTTAATGTCACTGTTTATGAAACATATTCCCTTTCCCCGTCTCTCTCACACCCACATGTAGAATTTGGCTATCCCTTTTGATGAATATTCCCCTCCTCTCAGCATTATTGTCTCATCTCCCGTACACTTCTTTCATATCCCACCCACCCCTCTCCCTAAATCAAGTCTGGACTTCCTCCCGTAGGATTGCTGCATGTCCGATTGCCTCCTTCCTCTTCTACTTAAGTCAAAAACCCTCCCAGCATTGTTCTAGCCTGGATTTGACCCCATTTCTTTTTCCATCATCCCTGTTCCCATTAGGACTACAGCCCAAACCTTCTTTTATTCTGTTCAACAGCCCAACTAATTTCCTACCTATTCTACTTTACTCAAACCCAGTATTTTCCACACATCTGAAGACTTTGTAGAGCTTTTCCACTGAATGTGAAACTTGGAGATTTTAAGTATAATATGACAAAATCCAGAAGTGAATAGTCCATTGAGGCTTCCCCAAGCAACTTGACCAAATGGGGTGGGGCAGGACAGAGATAATATAGAAGAACAATGTGGTTTCAGCTTTTAAATTATGCCTTCTCAGTTTAAGGTGTTTACACCCTGCTTTCTGAAGTAGTATTCAGAAGTAGCTTACACCAGTACATAGTTTCTAATTTTGATTTCTTTCTAGATGTGTTGTCCCCAACAGAACAGGAATAAGAACTTTATTTTGTTATGCAAACTATTATCCACAAAAAGGAGCACATAACATAACACAATTTACTAGTTAGCCATATTAGTCACTGTCCAAAACACTGTCCCAAACACAGCTGTTTGGGGCCACCTGATCCATAAACTACAAATGTGTTTCTCTAATCCAGTGCTTCTCAAACTTTTTCAGCTGCAGAGCTCTTTTTGAAGCAAAAATATCTCATGGAGCCCCAAGAATTGTTTATATATTATATATAATGTACATATACTAGGCATGGGCAAACTGTTGGATGCATTGTGTTGTAAAATTTGACAGATGGGCCAGTCCAGAGGCAAACCCCATTCTGCCATGAAGGAAAAGCACCAAGCACCCCAAACAGATGGCTACCCAACCTTTGTACTACTACTAGTAGTAGTAACAACAACAACAACAACAACAACAAAAACCCTAGAGCCATCCTGTCCAGGCTGCATGTCTTTATTCTGATCTGAAAACCAAGGCCACATTTTCTTATTTTGGGAGCAAAGGAAATAACCACAATAACAGTGGCTTTTTTTTTTGAAAGGGGCAGTAGACAAGTACTTAAAAGGGAGGCCTGCCCCAATTCTTCCTGACTTTGATGGCAGCTAGGATGCTCACTTTTTCCTCTTCTTCCCCCTCCCTCCTCCTCCTCCTCCCATGACCTTCCTGCCTTTGGCCCCAATTATTCCCCTTCCCACCTCCTCTGGATCCTCTTCCTCCCCTCAAGCCCATGCCTCTTTGACCTCCTCCTGGAGCTAATAGCACAGGCAAGGTCCAGGGCTGGTCTCTTGCCACCACCAAGGCTCCTGGCTAGCTCTAGCTGCTGCTCCTTCTTGTCCTTGAGGTTGCCCAACAGCGCCTGAAAGTGGTGCTTTCCGCCCCAGCTCTGAAAAGGGGCATCCTGGGCCTGCTTAGGCAGCCAGGCCTGGAAGCAGTCCTTGGAGGTGGTGGCGGCATGGAAAGAAGAATGGCATGGCTCAGTTTGGTCCAGTCCTGGTCCCTTGCCAGTAGTTGTCATGTAACCATGCACCAACTGCTGACTGCTCTGACGGCAACCCCCACAAATGGGCCACCAGCAGCTGTGCATTGCCATGTGTACTTGGAGGGGGAGGAGCAGGGGGCAACACAGAAGCCCCCTCAGTATGCTTCACAGAACCCCAAGGGCTCTGCAGAGCACACTTTACGAATTGCTGATCTAATCATTCATCACACCTTCTAAGAAAAAAGAGGGGTGAAGTCAAAGGAGGTATTGCTGCTACCACTAACCATAACCTGCTACTGCAGGCAGCTGCCTAAGCAGAGCTAAATTTGACTTTGCTTAACATTGGGATCACTCTGAGGGACCATAGGACGGTTTCCACTATGGCGAAAGTTGTGAATGATCAACAAAATACTAGTGCCACCAACATTACTGGTCTTCCATGACCATTTGAGAAAATAAATCATATAACCACAGAGAATAAAAGGAAATTTAAATAGAATCTTACCATGGGCCATGCGGTGAAACCAGTAGTATCCAAAATCTACTCCAAGAAATGTCAAGTACCAGGTCCATGGTGAGTCCCAAGGTAGTTCAAGAAGTCTATAGTTTTCCCATGTATAAATGTATGTTGATATTTCGACACTTCTGGACAAAACACTGAGATATAAATAAACAAAACACATGTTCAGAAAAACTTTGATGACATTTTCCTGCAGCTCTATACAATTCAGTTCACTTGGAAGGCACCTCACTGAAAGCCCTTCATAAATATATTGTTACAGTTTCATTTTAATGGATGCTCTATCTGCATCCCAAGGAATCCTAAGGGTGAGGTACTAGAAGTCTTGGGATGAAAATTCATTTATTTATGATTTATTTATTCCACTTATATGTCACCTTTCTCCCAGAGTGGGACCCACTAAAACTTAACAAAACAACTTTAAACACAATTCCAAATTTTTCTTTAAGAACGCCAAAAATAACATAAAACCATTCTGTATTTTAGCAAAACAATACATTTGAGAACCACATATGTGGGGCTGATCGGGATAAATTGTAGGGGTGATAAGGAAATACGATGTATATATTCAGTTTTACCATATTTATTTACTGTATTGTTATAAGTGTTTTATTTAACTTATTATAGAGAATGTAATCAAGTCTTTTCAAGCTTTTTGTGTGGTTTGGTATTGTAATATGGCCTAAGGGCTAATCAATAAAATTTACTGAGTCACAATTCTAAATGGCCCACAATTCCACATTCCAGGATCACATAGGACAGATCCATAACAAGAAAAATTGAATCATAGCTTTATAACTGTTGTGTGAAAGGCCAACGTACAAAAGCACTTGCTTCTAAGTGTGTCAAACTACACGCACACATATTATTATGTGCTTTCAATAGCTTCCAACTTATGGTGAACCTTTTAAAAGTATTATGCAATTTTCTTGCAGTATTTGTTAACCTTTGCATTCCTCTGGGGCTGAACCTGCACATGGCATTGGGAGTAACCTGCACATGGCATTGGGGTTCAAAGTCTTGTTTCTGATGCTCAAACAGCTGCTTTATTAGAATACTGATCACCATTCTGCTTGACCCAAAATACTGAAACTAGTAGATGATGAAGCTGAATGTTAACTCCAGAAATAGTGAGATAGAGACAAATTACTGGAAACAAAAGTAATCTGAAATGAAAAGAAAACGAATGAGGAAAAACTACTACTGAGTCAAAGATAACAAAAAAGACATCCACATCCAAGCAACATAAAACTGCTACTCTTGTGGTACCAGGGTCTATAGTGGGATCTGCATTTTCATTAGATTTAAATTTCAACTTTTAGTATCAGTAAACTATTATGTGAAAAATGCACCGTAATGTCTTCTGGGTAATACAAAAGTCAAAGCTTTGGAAATGAAAGCTATGGGGGAAAGACAGTAAGAAGACCCCTTTCCACCTCTGGCTGTCACGCTCCACCTGTGTCTCACTCACAGCCCTCCAACAGCTGTCCTGGTTTTCCACTGGAGATATCTGTTTAACCTCACTTTTGGCAGCTGATGGACCAAGAATTTCCACACAAGTTTCTATGACAGGTGTACCTGCTATCTTACAAAGCAAAACACCTGGAAGATGTTTATTTCATAAGAGCCTTGTTCTTCAAATGCTGTTAAAGATGATTTTATGTGACCCAATGATATTTTCACAATTTATAGCATGAGACATCTACAGGTCTCAGCTTAAATTCTTAATCATAGATACAACTGAGCCAAAAGGAATCAAATAATAATCTAAACAAGGGGAAGAGGGGGCATTATCTCAACATTTCTTCTCTGAGCAGGATATTAAAGAAAAAAATCTGCACACAATGTTATCAATTCTTGGCCATTACACAGTGCACAGTTACAATCACTTAAGCTTCACTGAATCAAAAGGGCTTAAGAGTGCCTGACTCTGTGTTGGATTGTGGCCACTGCATACTGTTTTCTCGCTTCGCCTTGTTAATATAAGTATTGTAATGTTTTTGCAATATAGCCAGAAATATGAACAGATACATTTCCTCCATTTTATGAACTTTCATTTTGCCCTGGAGTCCTTTTTTTCCATGGGCCGCAGCCAGAGTGTGAAACTCAGACCAATTCTGCAGAGCAACTATAGTTTTCAAAGTCACGCACGTAAACTCTGGAGATTTTAAATTCTTCCTTGGGTCACAAAAAGTATAATTATGATAGCTGTAACTGTAAAAAAAGACATTTTTATCACATCAGCAACTGAAAAAAGAATCAACAGTTGCTTATTTGTGCTACTTTGTATACAACATTAGAGAAGTCAAAAAGTGTTTGGTTATTTTTACACTAAGTTTAAAAATATGGCTCTCAAAGGGACAAAATCCAGAAAAACAAGTAATCTCACCTTTTTGTTAAAATTATTTGGAATGAAGGGCCCTTCCACACATGACTAAATCCCAGGATGTACTGGGATATTATATATATTATATTAGTTTCCACCCCCAACTCAAACCCCAGCTTCTTCCTGGGGGGGGGGGGAAACTACAGGTTGACCTAGGAGGGCAGGGAGCCAGCCCCCAGACCCCCATTTCCCCCAAAACTTACTGGAGGCCCCTCCATGGAAAGCTCCTGGTGCACCTCCTAATTAATCATTTTGAYGCACCAGGAGCTTTCCACTGAGTGGCCTAGCATGCAGCCAGGACACTCAGGTCACTTTTGAGGAGAAATGGGGGGGGGGGCTTGGAGAGGAGGGCAGAGGCACCATTCCACTCTTTTGGACTCCAAGAGCCCAAAGATCTGGGATCACTGTRGGTATTGATCCCGGGATCACAGAACACAGTCCCAGGAGTCAATCGTATTAGGCTCAGCACCTCAACAGATCTGGACCTTTCAGTAAGGTCCAGATCTGTTGAGGTTTCCAATTAACCCAGAGTAAACTGGGGAATCCAGTTTACTCCAGATTAATCTGTTTACCCGGATACTTCAGGTAAACCTGTGACTCATCATGGGTTTTAGGACATGTGTAGAAGGGCCCTAAGTCTCTGTACATCAGTGAGGTTTGCTCTAAGTAACATTTATAATCAGGCAAATTTCCATTGAACTAAATCATTACAGTTCATTATAATTAACAAGCAGATCCCAATGTGTCTTTGTAAAAAGGAGACGTCTATGGGAAACCTCAGATTGAAAATGAAAAAGAGCTTACATGCAGTCTGGAAAAAAACAACCCCTTTATTCGCTGAGTAGGAGCCTGCTTTGCAACTGACACCCAATTTATTACTCTGTCAACTGACTTATTAGAGTTGACACAAATCGAGGTGAAATATGTCTGACATGCTACAGCTCCCCCCCCCCCCAAGACACACACACACCAGTAGAAAGTTAGACTTTCGTTGGCAGAACAAGAGAGAAAAGGAGTGGGAATTCTCTTTCTTGCCATTTCTAAGAAAGGCAAATATGATCCTAATCCATTCTTAACTGATATCTTTGGTCAGTTGTTGTTCCCTCTGAAGTCACTCTAATGGTACCTCAACTTACTAGCATTTTGACCTCTCAAACATACAGAAGACAAGGCACTGTAACAACCAGTTAATCCATCACTTTATTAATATCTTGCTTTTCTTCCAAGAGCAGGATTCAAGGCACTTAAGAGAAACATGGCAAACCAACATAAAGCATCTGCTGAAAAGCATATACATTTTAGTATATGGAGTTTTATTTTTCTGTTTATTTTTAATAACCCAACAGCAATGACAAGTTATTTTTTTCTATCAGCCACACAAAGGTATTCCCATTGCACCAGTTCCTTCAGAATTACCTAAATCTTGCCCAGGATAGTGAATTTATCCATTCAACGGAATTCTACATAAAAGTAAGAAGACTGTATGTCATCTTACATTGGGAATTTATTTTTGGAAGTTTTATCTCTTCTGATACAAGATAAAATGATCCACTTTGGCTCCTATTTATATACTAATGTGTACATTTATCTCCAGGCCTGACAGCACAGAAACACTGCATTCTTCCCAAAAAGAAACAGCAGAATCAGTTTCCGGGGAGCTGAGTGTTTTGGTCCTTCAGAAGAAGAAGCAAACTTTTATTGACTTTCTTTCATATTTTTGTCCTATAGCCATAAGGGAAGTGCAACTTCCACATACCTTTCCTCTATACTATCTCAAAACAAAACATAGATGATGTGGCTCATAGAATGATATAACTGCAATGGGCCATCAATGAAGGAACATCTGGTGCATGAATATCTGCTGGTGATGCTAAAACACCACCAGCAGATAGTTGTCTGGTATCTTTTTCAACGTGTGTAGCAAAAGAGGCCCCAGGACCTCACTGAACACTCTTACAACCAAGTTCATTTCAATGTTCAGTCGAAGTCTGTCCTCTTGTAACTTAAGCCATTACATCTTAGCCTATCTTCTGGGGTAGCGGAGAGCAAACCTTCAGCCTTCTCTTTGTGACAATGATTTGGGGTATATAAAGAGTATTTAAAAACATGTCACCTGGTGGCACAGTGGGTCAAACTGCTGAGCTGCAGAAATTGTTGACTGAAAGGTTGGCAGTTCAAATCTGAGGAGCAGGGTGAACTTCCACTGTTAGGTCCAGCTTCTGCCAACCTAGCAGTTCAAAAACATGCAAGTGTGAGTAGATCAATAGGTACCACTTCTGCGGGAAGGTAATGGCACTCCATGCAGTTATGTTGGCCACATGACCTTGGAGGTGTCTACAGACAACGTCGGTTCTTCAGCTTAGAAATTGAGATGAGCACCACCTCCGAGAGTTGGACATGACTAGACTTGATGTCAGGAGAAATCTTTACCTTTACCTTAAAGAGTAGAATCATACTGCTCCTCTGTTTTCTTTGTGGTCTCTTCCAACTCTCTGGGTCTATGATTCTTCACCAGACTAAATACGTCCAACTTCAATTTTTCCTTCTAATGTGTTTTGTTCTCATACCAACTTTTTGTTTTCTTAACCCTGAATGTTTTAATGTTTTTATTATTATTATTTATGAAGAAGCCTCTGAGAGCTGAAAGCTGGTATAACTAGATTTGCACCTCTTGGTTGACCTAATAAAGGCTTCACCAGAATTGTGGGCACATGCTTTTATTCATGTAGTGAATTTCATGTTGTACTTTAC